TATAAACCATTGGGGTAACCTGTGCCATCTACTCTGAAACCATTGTATGTCAGTCCACTAGATGTTTGTACTACTATACCGTACCTGCACTGTTTACACTATACCTACACTTACACTGTCTAGGCAGCCTACCGCGACCCACCGTGGGCTCCTTGATTCCCAGCCTACCGCGCCGCGGCCAAAAGATTCCCCCGAGGCTCGGCGACGAGACTGTGGACGATGTTGCTCGCGAAGGGCTTGCACTTGGATCTCCGGATGCTCAATACAGTGACTCGGTCGGTTTGGGCATGGGCGGTTTAGGGTTTAGGGTCGGGCCCATGGCTGCGTCGTTGGCGGCCGGGGCCACGAAGAGACTCCTCCAAAGGCTGAAGAATCAGTCGGTTTTGAGGGGGTGAGTTGGTGGGGGGGGCAAGCCGCGCTGACGCGGCAGGTTGGTTGTCGTAAGTCGAGCATGTTTTTGTGGGCAGTCAGTAAATTCCCCCACCCCAAAAGCATCCAAAAGCGAAGCTCCAAACTCGGAGCCTTCAACTGGCTACTAACCCGGGTGCTCTATGTTTATTGGAGGTTGACTTGATGTGGATGTAAGAGTTATAGAGTTCTTCTTTCTTCTGATGTCACAAAGATGCGCTGTCGCCGAGAAACCGTTTTGTGAGGGATAGCGGGATAGCATGGATCGACGGCCAATTTGGGATAGACCCTTCTCAAGCAAACACACCGCTAGTAGACATGACTATAGTACTCCGTACTCCTCCGGGATTTCCAGTCCCATTCCGGTGCTCAAATACCAGCTGCTTCAAGGTTTTTGGCAGTCAATACCGGTTCAAGGGATGCGGAAACCTGGCCCCTCCAAGCCTACTCGTTCACATCACATTGCATGTCTGTCGCAGGCCCACTCTGACCACATTTACAACGATCAGGCGCGGTAGACTCTCAGGGCAGATCCCGCGGACCTCTGGCTAAGGCTAAGCGGCTAAGACTCGATTAATACCCCCCAGCCTATGACGAGGATGTTCAACTGGCTGGGGTTCTGATCCTCAAGAGTCTACATGGCTTAAGGCCAACACCTTCGACCCGCTAAGACCACGGCGTTTGGTCCGCGGATTGAGACCTCGCGGATCCGGTTTCGCAGGGCATGAAGGGGCATGAAGGATGGTTTTGAGTGAATGTAGGTTATGTAGGTTCTGTGGTTCATGTAGGTCCATGCAAGTTGACTTACATTAATGTATTATAGATAGGTTATGTTGATCAATTTTGCATGGAAGGTTTGGGATGTGATGACAAACCTCAAAGAAGTAGGTAGTCAAAGCTTTTGTCCATGATGACCCTTTTGACGTAACAGGACCTTTCACCAAGAAGAAGTCGCATGAACAATAGAAATTGGAGCTGCCTCAACCGAAACATGTGTGTTGCGTTTTATCACTTGCACAGCAAAGCCTGTGTTCCTTTGCAGAACCTCAAACATGTCCCATTCAACCTCGAGCTTCTTCTTCGAAGTTTGCAAACAAATGCAGAACCCCACTACCGTTTTCCCTTTCTCCCTAGGCGGCCCTCTTCCACATCTCCTTACCCAATGGCGGCAGCTGCAAAAAAGACTTTGACTTCTCTCGCGAGCCGCTCTTGACCGACTTCGGTGGTGATGCCGCGGCCTACGCGGAGAAAGCGGTCACGACTCGAAGCCTGCGCCGCACGGCACGGCACGGCGGCCGGACCAGGTGTTCTTGGGTTCATGTGTGGCCCAATCGATTTCGATGGCACATATGTGTGTTTACCTGTCAGGCTCTTCGTTCTCCAAGAAGAAGATCATAGTATATCATAATGAATGATCAATCAATATCAGTCAAATCAAGCAAGCAAGAAGGCAAGCATTCCCAAATCTCGTTCTTCACAACTTGGAATTGAGGTGGCCTCAAGGGCATACCAAATCATTTCGCACATATGGAGACCAACATAGAGTCATAGAGACACATCAGCTTGGGCTGGGGAAGGGACGCTCTCTCTGAGGCCCCATGCAGAAGCTGCCTTTCTTCTGGTTGGATCCAAAGGAACTCTTGGAGAAGCACCACCAACGTGGAGACCCCATCACTGTGGTCCTGGTGTGCAGAGATCCCAGAGCATTGGTGGCGATGAAGATCTTCCACCATTGCACGCACCTCGGAGCTTCAACAGGTTTGAACGAACCTCCTGAGCTGTTTGGCTGTTTTGGTGTTCGGACTGGTTTGGATTGGCAGAACCTGGCATATCCTACATGCTGGTATCATTTCTCAGACCTTCTCCAAAGCTCGGAGAGGTCCGTGGAGAATCAGCTGTTCATGCCTCGTTGCACCGCGTTGGTTTCTTCAAACCTCTCAAAGGACGGAGTATGGAGACAGTCCTTTCGCCAACCAAACACCCAACGCTCCGGAGTTGGGAGACATCCAGTCTGGGCATCTTGACCGGTTGACTTGGGTCTACAGAGGGGTTGACCTAGGTAAGTGGGAAAGTGGGTCTGTAGGTAAGTGGGGCCAAGTGGGGTCTATATAGGTAAGTGGGTAAGTAATTCCACATCCCATCTGGGCAGGGTTCCATTTTGGGCGCATGGTGATTCGTCCCACAGTGTCCAGAACCGCTGTCTTTTTGGTTCAAAGTAACTTGGAACTGGTAGGGTAGGGAAACGTCAGGGGTCACTTGCTTAGCTGCACAATACCTGTACGTTCAGTTCGGTACCTATTAAACACGTACCCCTTTTAGGCTTACATAACTCCGCGGTCGTGCTTTAAATAGGGGGTTCCCAACATAGCGGGATCCTCAAAGATAAGAACCGGGGCAGAACTTAAGGTCGCATCGGACCATTTTCAATACAACCATTACAGCCCTCGATTGAACTCGTACAATGATTTTAAACACTCCAAACCATCCAAACTATGGGGTCTTTCTTTTCCCTTTAGAGACAATCTTCGATGGAATGTTGATTCCGCGATGTTCTTCCCGAAACTTTCCATCCAGCTAGAGAGTAAAGATTTCGGTTTGGCGAGGCCATGTTTCTGCGTTGCTGGGAATTCCTAATACCCCAAGACATGCCAAGACCTGCCCAAGCTTGCCTAAAGGTGGTGAGTATGGATATTAGAGGTACAAAAAGGTTGAGCTTTCTCGTTTGGTTTTAATCGGGTTTTGTTCGGACGCCAGACCGGGACTTCGTTCTACCTGGTCGCCCTGGTCGAGTAGAAGTGACACTGGACTGGACTAAGGCTTAGATGATTGGAGATGGTTGTTGAGGGACACGCGGGATTAGGGTAGTCTTATGTAGTCTTGGTCCCGGTGGGAATGAGTTCTTGAAGATAGTTCTAGATTTCGACTATCAATACCTTCCAATGCATTCCGAGCAAGGAGCAACTCCAGCTCCAGGACTGTTGTGCTTCCCCCAATTGGGCGGATGGCCAGACGAATTGAAGCGCGTCGCGCGTTGATTCGGAGTTCCTGAGCACAATTTGCCCAGTGTCCAATTGGTTAAGACGGGGTGGTTTGGCTGGTCCCATCCAGTGAGTGGATGTGACAGGAGCACCCCGACTTCCTCCGTTCGTTCAGCACCCCGTCTTGTGACTCCTGGTAGAGCAAGTCCCCTCATTTGGTGCCTCTGGAGCTTCGACCACTCCGATGGTTTTTGTCGTCCACCGTGATGGACCAATTTCCGAATCCGAAGCAACCCCAGCGCTTTAACCAAAAAGATACGAAAAAGGGCTGGCTGAATACGTTAAGAGCATTCACACAGATGTGGGGCTCGTGTTCTCAGCCGGCCATGGAAACCATGCCGTCCAGGCCTATGAGCTCATGTTGAAGGCCTTCCGGTCGAGGGACCCCTCGGTCCACGTGGTGTGCTATGAGGACTTCGTGGACGATCCGACGAACTATGTGCCTTAGCATCCTGAAAATGGTGGGGAAGGAAGAAATTGCCCTAGGGACTTGCTGAAGGAAGAGTGATGAGGGATTCAAAGAGTCAACAGATCCTTCAAGACGAGTAAGGTGAACACCGGATAAATCACCCCCTTCTCCTCTCCTTCACGGTCAACAGGTCAACAAGGTTTGAGATTGGAGGTATTGGAGACCAGATCCCCCTAATCATGGTGATGACCTGATGACGGATGATGAGGTGATGACCTGGACCTCATGGATGATGATTGATGGGATTCTGTGTCAACCATGAGAGGTGTATGAGCAAGTGTCCAATCAGTGGATTGATTGGGAAGATTTGGATGAGAAGGAAACTGAATCGGGGAACCAAGGCAGTCAATTTCATGAGATTGTTGGGAAACCGTTAGGTGATATTTCTTTGATTGGGATGATATGGAAAAGTAAGAGGATTGCAGGATGAACGAGATGGAAAACAAGATGGAGGCCAGAAGGTGGGCTTGATTATAAGATGGGGAGGTGAGATTTACATGGTGGTGAGACGGAAACCGTTAGGTGATAACTTTTCTTTGATTGGGATGATTTGGAAAAGGAAGAGGATTGCAGGATGAACGAGATGGAAAACAAGATGGAGGCCAGAGGGTGGGCTTGATAATAAGATGGAGAGGTGAGATTTACATGGTGGTGAGACTGCTGGGAAACCGTTAGGTGATAACTTTTCTTTGATTGGGATGATTTGGAAAAGGAAGAGGATTGCAGGATGAACGAGATGGAAAACAAGATGGAGGCCAGAGGGTGGGCTTGATTATAAGAGGGGGAGGTGAGATTTACATGGTGGTGAGACTGCTGGGAAGCCGTTAGGTGATATTTTTCCCCACATCTCTGTCTGGGGTCCTAGATTTGTTGGCTGCCATCCCGCCCGACTCCTCGTCCTCCTCGTCCTCCTCCTCGCCTCCTCTCACATCTCACACACACACAAATCACTCACTCACTCACTCACTCACTCACTCCCTCACTCCCTCACTCCCTCACTCACTCACTCACTGACTCACTCACTCACTCACTCACTCACTGCACACTCACACTCCCAGCAGTCTCCAGAGACTCAGTCACTCACTCACTCAGTCACTCACTCACTCGCTCACTCACTCACTCACACTCCCAGAGCCAGTCATTCACTCACTCACTCAGTCACTCACTCACTCGCTCACTCACTCACTCACTCACTCACAATCCCAGAGCCTGTCATCCAGAGACTGCAGAAGGGGCTGCGGCGCGCGTTGTCGCCGCTGGCCCCCCTCTCTCTCTGCAGTGGCAGGCGCAGTACCCAGAGCCTCCGGAAGGGGCTGCGGGCTGCGGCGCGCGTTGTCGCCGCTGGGCCCCCCTCGCTCTCTGCAGTGGCAGGCGCAGTACCCAGAGCCTCCAGAAGGGGCTGCGGCGCGCGTTGTCGCCGCTGGGCTCCCCTCGCTCTCTGCAGTGGCAGGCGCAGTACCCAGAGCCTCACACACACAAATCACTCACTCACTCACTCACTCACTCACTCACTCACCCACTCACTCACTCACTCACTC